CTGGCTAATACTAGATCTAATACAAGTACGAGTAGGCTAGTGGCCTAGATCTAGGCCTATTCTTAATTTTACGCAATTCCGTTCAAAGGTCGACGCGAGGCTAGGCCTACCTATTCGGATTCCCCACGTTTGCCAAAAACGCTTTGGCTTTGCGGGTGGCGCCCCTCCTGTCCCCTAGCCTACAGTACTGTCAGTACAGTCTACTTTTCGCTGACCGTGAAGGTCTTTCGTCCCGTGGCAAGTGGTACGTTCCAAAGCCCCGGTCTATCTACCGCAAGCTAGGCTACTGGCTTGAGTCTTCTTCTTCCGACGCCCCGCTCCGGTTTGCCATGACCTTATTACGGTCATCGCGACAAAGTATGGCACACTGCCAAAAATTACGCAGTATCCTTCCCTAGCGGTAGACGGACCCAGTCGTGTAACGTGCGCTTAGCGTATGAGGCCAAGCGATAGTTCATGCCGCTGCACAAAAAGATCTCGTCTCTTCGCGCATATGGATCGAGTGAGAGCCTACACCAAAATCTAAAGCACCAAATTATATCCATATTTATCACTTCAGCAATTAATCACTATCGGGTCAGACCATCGATAGCCTTCACACGGGTTCCAATAATGAGCGGAAAGACAAAGGGGGCGGGGTAACAAAATCAAAACATTGGCAAGGGTCCAACATGACTAAAATAGAAGTCACTAACCTTCCACCCTGCAGAACTTGTGCTGTCTCCTTTATCCTTGAAATACGGTACATTTTGCACCATCCAGTCGTAAATCTGAGACAGAGTCAGTCGCTTCTCGGGAGAATTTTGAATCGCTTTCGTTATAAGATCAGCATACGATAAGTTTCCCCATGCATTTCGGCGTGATCCACTTTTCTTGGCAGTTAATCCAAGAGGATCTTTCACACTACCTTGCTGGTCTACTCCATTCGGTGCCTCTTCAGAGGGCACGGGGCTACTTTGAGGATCTAAATCCCTTGAAGGACGTAACGGCCAAGTATTTGATCGAGCCCTGGTTTGAGGTTCAAAATTTGGGTCTAAATCAAGATCTATGTCTGTTGCATCCATCTTGAGCCCTCGCTTTCACCTCGGGAGAAACCAAAGCACACCTCGTGAACTAGATTCTTGCGGGATACCACTATTCAGAAACTAATGCTTGCAACACGGTCCACCATATTACATATCCAGTTCATGAAATAAACAATCCATTTGCGAATTATCCACACAAACCACACATCGTGAACATATGAAAGCAAAATACGCTAGCATGCCAGTCGCTACTACAACCAGCGATGAGGGAGCCTTATGACGTATTTGTTGTCACGGGTGATTTGCATAGACATGTGCTACTGGCGCACGCACATGCGCAGTGGCTGAGTGCGCAGCGGAAAGAAAAATTTCCGATCCCGCTCTGGGGTTCTCGATGGGTGAAAACTGTAACGAAAAGGTCAAAAGCACACTGGAAATGCTCCAAAACATCCGGACAGATCTACCTAGAAAAATAAAACGTTGATAAAGGGTATACATTCTCGATCTTTTATGAATAAACCACTCTACAATGGATGCACAATGTTGATGACAGATCTGAAACTATAATAAAAAATGGAACAGAAAGTGAAACGAACCACTTGGCAAACTGTCAAGGGAAGTAATCATGATATTATACATTTTGTAAACTAAAGACGAGTTCCAACACTTGGAAAAATATTCCTTCAAACATTGGCTAGATGATTGCGTTACCGCGTTTGTTGCCAGAATAATATACACCAATAAGCCTGTATAATGATATTTTCACTTCCAACACTGCAGATTGTACAGATACCTGAAGCACAGTACATACATCATAAACCTGCTAAACATGCTGGACAACAACTTTAACAAAGACGTACAAACAGCTCACAAAAATACTAGAAATTATTATTTTAAAGAAAGAAATGAAATTCATTTGGGCAAACAAATAACAACAAGAATAAGACGATTCAAGCAACCCATGTCTAAAACACCTCTGCAAATATAACATTAAAAAAGCATAGCATAAAGTAAATCAAATCAACAACCAAACATCATAAACAGCTATTATAAACAAATACATAACAGGAGGCAAAACCCTGTATTATAAACATAAGTCTATTATCTTAAAGATTAAATAAATGCAAACACCCCCCCCCCCCCTCGCACACATACACAAACACTAACAAAAATACAAAAATAAAGAACAAAAAACAAAAAACAAAAAACACCAGCAACCAATTAGGCTCACACTTACTTCTGACATCTAAACATAATCTGTATCTGTTTAACTCGAGTATTTGGGCATGCTGAGCAGAGCTGATAACTGGCAACTCAGAGAAAGCAGCTCTATCAACATGAATAACCGTGAGTTCTTTTCGTGGTCTCGGCCGGGACACTGGCATCTAAAATGGACAAATCAGGAAAATATTATTTTTTAAAAAGCATCCCTCGATATTCACACACGTTCAGGCGCACGTGCGCTCGCCCGCACGTACGCTTGCACGCACGCAAGCACACACACACATGCACAAATACACATGCACAAATACACACACACACACGCACACACACACACACACACACACACACACACACACACACACACACACACTCACAATTACACACACATACATGCACACACATATTACACACACACACACATACACATGCACGCACACTCACACACTTACACACACACATACATACACA